GTAGTAGTAGTAGTAGTAGTAGTAGTAGTAGTAGTAGTAGTAGTAGTAGTAGTAGTAGTAGTAGTAGTAGTAGTAGTAGTAGTAGTGGTAGTAGTAGTAGTAGTAGTAGTAGTAGTAGTAGTAGTAGTAGTAGTAGTAGTAGTAGTAGTAATTGGATATTATTAATATTAGAATAACCGTGGTGGTCTACGAAGTATTAAATTACTATTTACTGTTGGAGCACATTATCCTGATAATTATACTAGGGATACAGCGATGGCCGAAATGAAGCAATTCGGTAATAATAATAATCAACAACAACCACCAGCATACCACTCCTCTGCCAAATCATCTCAGATGATATCATCACTCTCCCTGCCGATTTCAAAGACTATTACCGTAACCTCGCGACGAAGACTCGCCTTTCCATCCACGAGGTCGTCCACCGTACTAAATCGTACTACTTGTACTCTTCCTAACCAACCATCATCATAATGTTTATTGACAGTTTCAAGCTCCTGTTGAAAGTTGACACGGACTCGTATGTTCACGTGGACCGTTTGCTCGACTTCATGGATTCTCACAAGATGTGGGAAAATAACATTTCTGTCTATGCAGGGGCGTTCGAAACTTCAAATGTGGTATGGAACCCTCGTGATAAGGATGATAAATGGTAAATATGTAAACTCTCTCGTTACGTGATGTTACTCGATAAAAAAGGTACGACGGTGAATTCGCTGATCTCACTGGAATGGAGAAGTACCCTTGGCACGCCAAAGGTAGTGGCCGTAGTAATACTGCTCGGTAAGTATCCTCATATTAGGTGCGGGCTATGTGCTGTCCTATAAGTTGGCAAAATATCTATCCGATCCACCAGTACCTCTACGATCCTGGGTGCATGAGGATGTTGGTATTGGTGCATGGCTAATGCCTGTCTCATGGGATCGTATTGACATGCCGGTCCGTTTTATGGAGCCCCAGTGCGACTGCGCTACTCTATGTACGGGTACGATGTTCCATCGCAACGAGGACGACCCGGAAGAGTAAGGAATGAGTGAGAGCGAAATGATTTGTTCTCTGTTTTAGGAAAGTTGTTATTGACCATTATATACCAGAATATCTTCATCGATGGCGACAGAGGCGATTTGAGCTCTTCGGCGATGAATGTTGGATCCCACGGCCGACTGATGTGAGTCCTCTGAAGGATTCCATTCTTAGACTTGGACAGTTGAGTGTGTCAGGTTGAATCACCCCTAGTGGACATTGAGCCCTCAGCTGTGGAAACGGCTGATTACATACCACCTGTTACGATGGGCTACTATGAGACGAAGTAAATATCTGCAACTTTTGCATGTGGTCATTATGAACCTAAGGTATCACTTCGAACCGCTGAGATCTAGAGCGAAACCACCACTGATACCGTCTCACGCGGATACGCGTTCTGGAGTGTGTAAAATGGATTTCTCTTTTGAAGATATTCATGACGCTGGTTCCTTCAGTCTGCGGGCGATCAGAAGGTGAATTATAGTTTACTATAACATTCTAATTGTTATTTTCAGTCATCGAATCTGTCGAGGGAGTGATGGGAGTATTTATGATGATTTCGAGTGTGACCGTCAATCCGAAGGGACGGAGCAGAGCAGTGTTGTGTCCGACTGGAAAGACCGATCGTCATCATCATCGTCATGTGACGCCGAAGCTCCTATTATAGTCGAGCGAACGCCCCTGAGTCTCCCCCAATGTCTTCAACTAGCATCGATTAACAACCAAGATAGTCGTGGCTGGGCGACTTGGGATGCACATTCACACGTGTGTAAAGTGTTACCGCCAAATGCCTGTCATTTACGACCGTCACTGCAGAACGATGCCTCTTTGCGAGTGTTCGAGCATGTCAGTTCTACAGCGTCGTCACTCCATCTTGAACCTC